TTACACAGCAGGTTTGAGCCAGTCAAAGATACATGAGACTGTTTCCAAAAAAAAGTAGAAGGCATGCATTTTGAAAATGGATCCAGTTGCATTACTCTTGAAGCCTACTAGAGAGCATTAGTATTTTATTCATGTAGAAATGATGGCTCCTCCTAGACTATGCAACAGCAGCTTCCCACACACAGTACCAATGACACATCCTGTTGGGACATCCTGCAGCCCTTACTTCCTCTCCAATCTCTTATGACTCAGAGTATCACTCAGATGAATTTATGTATAAATAAATTGGAAAACTTACTAACATGTTCGTGTGTAGAATGTTTTAAATGTTTAACAGTTTTAATTAATACTCTTAGAAGATTTTCTCTTGAAATGGGATTTCCCTCTGTAGCCCAGGATAGTCTCAGATTCCAACAGTCCCCACTGCCTTAGCTTTCCAAGCTGAGACTGTAGACATGGGCCGCTATGCCCAGTTTAACACGTATGCCTTGTTTCAGAAGCAATAAAGGAAAAAAATCCAAAGGAAAAAAGAATATTCGAAAAATTATAGAAAATAAGAAAGAGAGTAAATGTGTTAGTTGGTTGGTGTATTTGACTATAAATCAAATTGGTGTAACTTAATTTCATTTGTATTCTTTCATGTTTTATTTTATATTTATTTCCTTATTTGCCACAATACCAGCGATGAGGTATTGCACACTCTAGGCAAGCTATACCCTGAGCTATATCCGTAGCTCCCCCCCCCCCCGTTATATTTTGTCTTGTTTCTTTGCTTTTTGAGACAAGATCTTCTCCTTGTTCCTCTAGCTGCAACTCTCTATACAGGCCGGTCTTGAATGAGGGGCAATAGCTTATCCTGCCTCAGTCTCCCCTTCCTGAGTGGTGAAATTATGAATATGAACCACTATGCCTGGTTAAAATTAATGCTTTTCAAATACACAGATAAATCATATAGCTTTGTATAATCTTGATTCATCTATGAAAAGAAGCCATGAAGGAAACCACAGCACAGTCTCCCAGCAGCCCTTGCTTTTGCTGGGACGTCCTCTTAATTATTGAGCTCACCTTCCTGGGATCAGAGCTGTCTGTCAACACCTGGAACTTCAGAGAGGGCCAGAGTATGCACACAGGTGTGAAGACTGGCCTTGCAGAGCAGGGGGCCTCCTTATAGCCTGTAGGCTCAATGACTGCCCACTCCCTGTTCCAAGTCAGATTCTCTGACCCTCTCTGAGGTTCCCAGTCTCACCAGCAAGACTTTTCCATCGCAAGTCCTTCCTCCCTTGACTACTCTCAAGCTCTGCCTGGGGAACCCTCCAGGCTCCTGCTCCAAATCAGACTCACCACAGTGACCTTCTAATGGCTTCCCACTCAAATCTAGGCTGGGCCCTTCGTGAGCCATGCAAAAATTGGACTCTAAGGGAACCCAGCCCGGTCACCCCAACCTCTACTTTCCAACCTGGGGGCAATTGGGTAAGGTTGGCCATTGCAGGAGCAGGGTCTGCAAGACCCGTTGGCATTGGTTTCTGCAGTGGCGCGCCACCGCTTGGAGGGCACTCAGCCTTTGGAAAACTGGATTCTAAACCCTGTCTTCCCACCAGTGGTGTTTTGTGGGACATCAGTAGCCGCCTTCCAGTCACCTACAAGTGAGCGGTAGCAGACAGCCATGACATTTGGGTTTAGATCCAAGTAACCACTTGAATGGGACAGGGCCCTTGGCATTTTAAGAGCCCTCTAACCTGTGCTGCCATCTAACTTACAGCAGTGACTACCAGGGTCATGGTTGGTGGCAGGTGCGGGTGGCAGCATGTCACTGTCACTATGTCGTGCCCAGGAATTACAGAGATGCCAGAGAGCCTGTGCCCTCGAGCAAACCAGACTTGCTTTCATGAGGAGAGCGTGAGTAGGTTCAGTGGGGAAATGGTTGTTTGCTAACTGCTTCTGGAGACTGAAGCTACAGGCTTCCAGGGATGACTACCTGTAACCTGGATGCCCTCTGTAGCACTCCCCTCCTGACAAGGTTCTGTACCTTCCTCTCCTCCCTCCCTTCCTCTTTCCTTCTTCATCCTGAATGTTTCCTGTTGAGTATTATTCGTTTCCGTTCTGAAAAAATTGAATCCGATCTCCCCATGTCTGAGTTTACAGACTCGTGGAGCCCAGCTTTGGTCCCAAAGTGCCTGTCTGTACATCCAGAATGCCTCGAGAGCATCCTTCTAGTGGCTCCGTTTGCTCCAAACATGGGGGTGGTGTGTATGGGAGACTAGTCAGCTTTGTCTCTTTGCTGTAGAAAGCCTCTCTTGCTGCCTTCTCCTCCCTCCCTCCCCTGTCCCCTCCCTTCTACCTTTCCCTCTTTCCTGTCCTGCCCTCCCCTCCCTTCTCTCCTTCCTTACTAAGTAGTTCTCCATGGCTCCAGATTTCTCACCTGCAAAGGCAGCTTGTCCCTTGGGCTGCCACTCTCCGGGACATCTCTATATTTATTTAGCTGTGTTAGTCATCTTGCGAGTTGAGTGCAAAAGCTTTGAATTAAGACTTTTGAGACTTTGGATGACTTGCACACACACACACACACACACACACACACACACACACACACACACCTTCATGGTCACTTAGAGGAGACAGGGAACAACTAATTTTAAATTTCTTAAACTTCTTAGGGCTGGGATAGTGCCGATTCTAAGGTATGCAGGATGTCTCACCCTGAGCTTGAGTCTTTGGTTCAATTTCCAAATCCCTCAATGTGGAGGGGGGGGGGTCATCAGCTTGAGTCTTCCTGCAGTCCATGTAAAATGGAAAGTGGGGGACACGACAACTTTGACCATGGCCACTTGAGTCTACATAGTGAAAACATAGGGGAAAAAGTACAGTGGTCCACTCAGGTCTTTCCAGAATCCGTTGCTATGGCAACTTTGGGCATTCATTTCACATTCGCCTTCCTCATCCCCAGTTACTGGAAGTGTTCCTACTGACTGTATGGTGTCCCAGCCTCTTCCACAGTGCCCCAAGTAGCAAACACCAACACAGCCCTCAGCCACTGATAAAGGTCCCTCCCACCTTGCGCACGCATTGTCTTTTCTTGTTGGCAGCACTGGGGATGGGGATTGAACCTAAAACCTCGTGCATGCTAGGTGAGGGCGTTACCATTCAGCTGCTATGGCACCAGTCCGGACTCATTTTTCAACCAGTCTCAGGAAATGTTTAACCTTTTAAAGTACCGCCACAATTTTCATTCTTTTCAGATTTATATGAGGCTGTTTGTCTCAACAGTGTATACAATAAATAATTTAAGTGAGGTGTGATGGTGCACCCTTTTAAATTCTGGCACTCGGGAGGCAGAGTCTACAGGGCCAGCCTCGGCTACACAGTGAGTTCCAGGCCAGCCAGTGCTGCATTATAAGACTGTCTCAAAATAAAGAGATAATTTAGAATATGAATTATTGAGAAATAACCCTTGAAATGATTTTGCTGCCAAGGTTTTATTTGTTTATAGTTTAAGTCACCACGCCCCACACACAAATCCCTTGTGAGAAGGCCATTTGTAAACCAATAACAGAATTGCTTCCAAAAGGAAAAAAAGAGATGATATCAGTTTTATTAAGGGATTAGTTGAGTGTTTACTTTTATTTTGGAGGTGTGTGGTGAGAAAAGGAGTAATTATTGGGGGGGGCGATTTGGAAAATTCTCTGAAGACTTGTTTTTAAGATAAAAAGCATTTCCCCAGACTTTTGTCTCTCTGCAAATAACACAGACGGCCGAAGTCAGGGGAGTAACAGCCCTTTCCCGGCCCTTGCAAGCCTAAGGGCTATAGCAGCAGTGTCTCTAGAAAGGTAGACAGTCAGGCCAAAAAAAGAAGCGCTTCCTGTGACATTCCCCATCCCCTTGTGGGAACTCTGGGAGCCCTTTCAGACCTTGAGTTTAGAGGTTGGGTTTCCTGAGTGGGAGGAAACAGAACTGAAAGAAAGGGGGCAGCTAGCTGCAAGGGCCACCCCGAGAGTGTGAGACACCGAAGCTGGAGGTGGGCCAGCGGTCAGTCCCCATCCTCAGACCCTGCACAGTCACAAGTGGCCAGGGACGAATCAGAGAGAGTTAAGAGTGGGCCCCTTGAGCGCTGGAGATGGACCCTTAACAGGTTCTACTGCACCTGGGTTCCCGGCCTAGGATTTTCAGGTTAACCGAGAGGAAGGCCAGCTAGAAAGAAAACATGCCTTGCCCTGCCCCTCCCGCGCACACGGCAGATGCTTGCGGAGGGGAGGAGGCGCCTCAGGAGGGAAGAAGTCCTTGCTGATAAGCATGTGTCTGATTCATCTGGTAGCCTGGTCAGCCAGCCTGGGGAGAGGAAAGCCTCCTTTCCTTAAGTCACTGGAGCAGGGTTTGCCGGCCTCCGCGCCCCCAACCCTCCTTTAACCCAAATGCAATCGAAACTGCATTGCCTTCAAGCCTGGAGTGCTCCTAAAGACTTGGGGTTTGATGAGGTTGCTGCATGACTGATACAATTGCAGATTTTTAGAGCCTCCAAGAGACAGATGTTTGGGCTGATTAAGAATTGAGGAGGAAGCTTGCAGCTGCACCAAGGAATAATGTATTGGACAAATATTTTAATCAAAAAATATGAAGAGATCAGCCCAACCTTCCAAGGTCTTCTGCTTTAAAAAAAAAATCTTTATCAAACCCCTATTCTATGGCTTCAATAAACAGAACCCATTACCTCACGGCATCTTTTGTTGGCCCCATACAAGAGAGAACAAAATGGTTATTCAGGGGAACGCTTTGGATTTTATTGTGAGTAGCCTGCACAAAGAGCCGTGTTATTGTATTTAAAAGAACCATCTGTAGCAGAAACAATGGCATCAAATTATCTTTGAATACCCACTGAAAAACATAAAGCTTGTTTTTTTTTTTATTCTTCTGTACGGTGGGGGACAGAGCCGTGTTAGGATAACTGACTTTTTGTTGTTCTCTGGGTGCATTCTTCCCGCTCCCCCTCTCTCTCCCCCTCACCCTCTCTCTCCTCTCTCTCTCTCTCCCTCTCCCTCTCTCTCTCTTTTAAAAAATCAGCCATTTGGGGTTTTAAGCCATAAACGATTTTTCTTGTTGCAGGGGATTGCAGAGGCAAAGCTAGGCTAGGTCTTGGAGGCTGGTGTGAGGCGGTGCGGGTAAGGCAGGAGGGCTGCTGGAAGACACTGTGGAAGAAAAGCCGAAATGGATTCTCCGTGCCTTGGATGGAGGAAGAGGGGGGAAGTGCGAGCTCCTTCAACTCCTTCGGTCCGGTGAGGAGTGATCCAGCTTGGGCTGACAAGAGGCTCCGGGAGCCCTCACGTTCAGGGCTTTTTTACCTGCCAATCAAACTGCTACAAGACAACACCCTGATCTGGCGTGGACGCGTAAGTAGCTCGCAACTCAACTTTGACATTCAAGGCTAGCTCCCTCTCCCCACCCCCAACACGCTCTCGCTCACTTTCTTCCTCTCTCATTCTGCCTTTTTGTGTGTGTGTTTGTGTGTGTGTGTGTGTGTGTGTGTGTGTGTGTGTATGTGTGTGTGTGTGACCTCTAAGAGGTCTGCCTACTCTGTGTGGTAGTCATTTAACGCAGGCCGATTTAAGTTTGAAGGTGTTAAGTTTGGGAATTAAATGCTAATTAAGATCTCTTTAACAAATGCAGAACTGAAATGACATTTTATTCCCTTCCGAGCAGTTAGTTTTAGGTCTGAACGCAACCAAGGTGGCTTGGGGGGGGGGGGGGGCTCTTTATACGTGAAAACTTAGAAACAGATGCGTGACTCCCTATAGATAAATCCAATAATGAAAAATTTGGGGCTTCCATCTTAAAACTGTTAACTCTAGTATTGCTCTCCTACAAAGAACCTTGAGCAGACCGCTGTGTCTTGCGATGAAAGGTACAGCTCCTGAAGGGCTCACGTCAATCGCCGTCGGGACTTGGGGAGGGGGGACGGTAATTGGGGTGAGAGGGAGCTTGCATTTAAAAAAAAAAAGTCAGGGGACATGACGAACCCTCATTCTTTATGCAACTGGAATAGAGGGAGATAGAAACGCAAGGGGGCAGGATCATCAAGAAATATTACCTGAGAGGGAATGACAGGCTGACGAGGTTGGGAGCTGGGAGGGCTGAGGAAAGCTGGCTAGGGCTGTGGGTTGCTCTCTGGCGCCCTCTAATGACAATCGAACAACGTTCCCCTCGCCACCCCACGCTCAGGATAGGGTTTTGTCGCTGCCGCTGCGAGTTTTTGTTGTTATTGTGGTGGTGGTGGTGGTGGTGGTGGTGGTGGTTGTTTGGCTGGTTGGTTTGGTTTGGTTTTCTCTGCACGGAATAGAAGAAATAGGTATTTTTCAGCCCAGAAACTTGGTGCACGGGGTTTAGGCATGCGTTTCCCCTCCACGCCGAGGAGACGATGGATGGTTGTTTGATTCGTGGAGGGAGTCCCCGTGGGGATGAGCAGTGCTGGGGGAGGGCCTGCTTCTCGCCCGAGAAGTGTGGTCGGGATGGCCAGGGTGCGGATCCAGGATCCAGGATCCAGCATCCTGACACCCGCCCATCACCGCAGTTCAAGGAGGCTCCTGGGGACCTCTGCCACCCAGGCTTGCGGTGTTCAGGGGCCTGTTCTAACGCCTCCTACTTCTTTTTCTTCTTTCTCCTCCTCCTCTTTATTTTTCTTCTTTTTTTTATTTAAAATTTTAGTAGATAAAGGTTAATCTTGGGCTGAATGATAGAGCTGTGATTGACAAGAGAGAAGGTGTTGAGGGCAGGTCGCACGGTCTTATTTACAGCCCACTGCTTGCTGTAGAGCCTTTGTTAGGACTCAAAAACTAATCTAGTGCTGATCAAAGCATCACGGAGTTAAAGGACAGTAATGACTGCTAATTTCATTCCAGCCTCAGGCAACCCCCGCCGCTGTAATTAAAGACACACTATTTAAATACAGGTGAAGAGTAGTGGTTTTTTTTTTAAGTTGAGGTGGGGTGGGTGGGTTACAATTTTATTTAGAGTTCTTCTTGTACTATGGTGGTTATGTGGTCCAACACCGGGTATTTTTTTTCTATTAGAATTATTTTTTGTCGTTTATACTTGGCTTTGAGGGACTGACAGGGTAAAATGCGTCCGTCACATAACTGCCACTGTTTAAAGGAAGTAGGGGAAGGAAGCAGTTCAGTAACAATGTAGCGGGGGATTTAAATATTTGGGTCTCATCTACACACACACACCCGCTCCCCCCCCCACCCCAGCCTCTCTTTTTCCTCCCCGACCCCAGTATCTTTTTTTTTCCCCTCTTCGAATGAACAGAAGGGCCTTCAACACAGCTAAAAGTATTTGAAACTCGGAGCAGAGTTAACAGGCCAGCCAAAAAGATAAGCATCCACTTTTAAAGAACTTCTAAAGGATCGTGTGAACGTATGGAAAAATATATTTTTAATAATTTCATACACACACACTATAGCGGCGTATTGGCTCAGGAACCTCAAAATTTTACAATCCATAGGAGTTTCTTTATAACATCAAAGCTCTACGTTTTCGTACTTGGTTAAAACTGATACTCTCTCTACACACCACACACGCACGCGCGCACACACACGCACACACACCAAAAAAAAAATTTAGCCTTTAATCTCTTTTTATACGCAAAGACGAAAGCTCTACACTCGACCCCGCCAGCGGCTGTCGCGGTCGGGACGGGAGCAGCTCAGTTGAGAAGAGACTCGGCAGTCTCATTCCAGCGCCCCCTATTGGACGCAGTGGGAGATGCACAGCGCCCTCCCCGAACCTGCGTCAGCCCTTGCCCTGGGGTTAGAGAAAACTCTTTATTGCCCTTAAAAAAGGAAGTAGGGGTGCGGAAAAAGTTTTTATGCCCTTAAAAGATAACTATAATGCAACAAAAACTAAAGAGATATTCTTTTCAATTCTATTTCTTTTAAAAAAAAATGACATTCCTCCTTACACCCTAGTTTTACCCCATCCTGGTCTGGTCTGGGGTCTTCTTTTAGAAGTTATGCCGTGGTACCACAGAGAAACGTTATGAAAACTGCTTCTACCGCTCGCCCGCTTTCCACAAATTAACACTAAAGCGGCGAGTGCTTCGCTGAACCACCAATCGCGGTTCGCAAGTAAAGTGTTTGGAGTCTCTAGTGAATGAAGCAACTCGGTTAATATTTGATTATTAATTCCAGAATGTAATTAAAAGTCCAGTCTCTCCTTCGAGTATTTGCCTCCCCTCAAACCAGTCTTGATCAAACTTTTCCCCCTTGGCGATTGGCTAAATCCCAGCTGTTGTCTACCGTACAGGTGTCTTACATCTTTTCGACTTTTATCTCAATGTAGAATTTCGAGGGAGGTTAATCTGTGATAAATTGTATTGGCCAGAAATCCAAGTTACTGGAAACAGTTTTTGTTTGTTTGTTTAATATCTCCAAACCTGTCTGTGTTAGAAGGGGCTGTAGCTTTTGCCAGCAAGGGAGGGGAAAGCAGCCTTGTGATTGATTCAGAAAGAGGGACCACAAAAAGAACATAACCTCTAGAATGCAGAAAATGTTGGTTTGTTTAGTTTAAAATCAAAAAGAAACCGTCAAGTGCTGCATAAACAAAACGACCATGTCCCCCTTCGCAAACGTGTTTGCCGTTTCAACTTTTCACCGCACGGTTACGGCTTGCTATCGGAAACCAGCTGAACTTTACCTAACAGAATGAATGACTTTCTCCACATTTAATGCCGTATCTCTGCCAGTTCAGAATAGCGGATCTGAGATGGTTTTTAAAGGAATTGCTTCTCGCGAAGACGCCTCTCATCTGATCCCGGGATCCAATCTCGGAAGAGGGGGGAAAATTCAGCTTTTGAGAAATCCCTACCCGGCAGTCTGTCGAAATAGGCGAACAGGAGCCGCTGCCTTGGCACCTTCACCCTTTACTTCACGAAGAGGGTAGGCCTGGTTAGGAAAATTCCCACCTGGGACTAGCCTTGGGAATCTCACTCCCACCGGGGAGACTCGGGAACGCTTCTTGGGCGCCCCGGCTCCCAGTGCTGCCTGCGGTCATCCAGCCTCGCGGAGCAGCGGAGAGGTCAAGACAGACCCTGCCTCGGAAACAGACTGCAAAAGGGGTAGACAATCTCCACTGGGGAGTGTGGAAAAATTGGGAGAGCCTTCCCTCCCGCATGCGAACAGAAGATTTAGGCAAAGATCAGCAGGGGCAGGCGTGCAGCTTGCAAGTCCGCAGCTTCGCAAGGTCGGAGGACTTGCGGGCCTGAGCAAGAAGCAATTGAGCCAGTGGGTGAGCCAGGCCTGAGCGCGCCACCCATGCTCGCTTGCATTGTGATTCTGCAGCCGCAGGTGGCCCAGCCCCTGCCCCAATCCCACGCCGCAGGACTGCCAGCGGGGAGGCGGCGGCTCCACCTTTGGAGACTAGGGAGGCGGCCAAAGAGGGGCTGAGTCCTCCGAGAAGGCAGAGCCTCCCCGGGCTGGCAGCGGGCCGGTTCTCCCCAGCCGCACTGTACCCTTTAGGGGCGTGGCAGGCTCTTTGGGTCTGTGGTCGCCTCGTCCAGACTTGAGCTCGGGCGTGTTGGCTGGGCGCCCTGCTTTGTAAAGTACTGAGTCCTATGAGCCAGCCAGCCGGGTGGGCCAACTTAGCTTAGGTCCACTGAGTCCAGGCCAAGTCCTCAACCCGTCCTTCCTTTCTTTCCCGCTACCTCCCAAGCTTAGTACGCTGAGAAGCAGGGTTTGTGGTTTGGAGTTGGACAGGCTATTTGGAGATGGGGCGGGGGCAAGGCTCATTAATAAGAGCCAGGTTCGAGGATGTGCTTTCGTTTATTAAGTTTACATTCTTGTTCGTTTTTAAAACCTTCAGTTCCTGGAATCCAAGTCCCAGACAAAGAGCCAGGGAGAGAGCCGAGCCAGGATGAAAAGAACAGGGCTACAGATCATTCTCAATAAACTGCCAGGCTGTGGCTCCGGAACCGGGGCCCAGGGCTACGTGGGCTGCTGAAGGGTGTAGATACCATAAGTACAACTTGACACCACTGAGCCCACGGTGCTTGTCAATAATCTGTCAATTAGGTGTGGAGACTGTCACCATAGATCATAACAGTTTGTAAAGGCTCATTACAGCATAGCTTGTCAGTGATCTCCAAATTAAGGGGGGGGGGGAGGTAAGAGGAAAAAGGAGTGGGGACCGCCAGCAAAAAGCCAAGAAGGATGGGAGGGGAGATAAAAGTCGGAGCCCCAGCTCAGAAGGAGCCTTTAAAGATTATCAGGCCAGCGATCTGAGAATTCCACAGGGATGGGTTTTGGAAGCCCAGATCTCTCTGAGCCTGGGCTGGAAGGGGATGCTGAGGACTGGTAGAAGTGGGCCTCAGGGAAAACCGACTTCTCAGACATTGTTT